AATGCAACCAAAAAATAAAGAAAAATATTAATCTTTAAAACAACCCTTTTTTTTCCCTTAAAGAAAAACGAAACATGCTAAATTTCGGAGTTAGAGAAATTTTTTGGAAGATTGTGTTTTTATGCAATAATGGGACAATTAGCAATATAATAGGCAGAGAAGGTTGCGGCTTAATTCCGATAAAATACAAGATTTAATCAAAATTAATTTCTTCTTTTCAAAAAATATTCTGATTGATCGTATTATGGTGACCATTCATGAACTTGTCATTGGTGCCCGCCTCACTTCAAATTGTGCTAAAGAGCATTTGAGTTTCCAACTTAACGTCGGATGTCAAGCCCAAACATAATTCAACTTTTATTTCGAATTTATTTTCTATTTTGCATTTTTTTTTTCACCAATCCAATCCAATAGCATCTTCTTTCTCTTTCTTCTTTTGTCAATATGCAATAGCTTCTAAATAGACCTAGCATTTGTATCGTGTTTTCCGTGTTCGTGTCGTTTTCGTGTCATACCCGATATCTTAACGGATCGTGTCGTGTAACACCCGTTAAAATAAACGGGTAAAATGACCCGACTTGAAATCGACCCGATAATATTAATAGGTAATATGACCCGACCCGTTACCCTTTAAGAAAAATATATTTTAAATCAATAAATAATCAAATGAAAAACATAATACTAAATAGAGTAAATTGTACAAATGGTCCCTCAACTTTAATCAAATTGGAGCAATGGTCCCTCAACTAAAAATCCATTACCATTGGTCCCTTAACTTATCAAAATGTGTAGCTATAGTCCTTTTCATCAATTTTGTCAAAATTTTGTCCAAATAAGCTATGTTGGAATGACCATTTATATAATTAGGGTCCCTTAACTCATCAAAGTATATTATTATGGTTCTTTTCGTCAACTATGTCAAAAAATTTGTCAAAACGAGTTATATTGGAAGGACCATTGTTACAATTGAGTTAAAGTTAAAGGACCATTTCTCCACTTGAATTAAAGTTCAGGGACCAATGGTAATGGATTTTTAGTTGAGGGACCATAGCTGCACGTTTTGATAAGTTGAGGGACCAAAGGTAATGGATTTTTAGTTGAGGGACCATTGCTCCAATTTGATTAAAGTTGAGGGACCATTTGTACAATTTACTCTACTAAATATGTATATACATACCATATTGTCACATCCAAAACATAAAACACATTTTTCTTTTAAGTATATTTTCACTTACCTAAAGTCTTTAATAGTTTTTTAATTAATGTAAAAGTGTAAAAAAATATAGAAAAAATATATAAACGCTCGTAATGACAAGCTTTACAACTTTCATGAAGTGCTTAACTTCGAAATTCGCCACTATAATCATACAAATCATAGATCAAAATTTAACCGTTGATTGTTGTTTACATTTACGCTTCATTATTCTCATCAAATTTGTTTGTTTCAGATTTTCTTTTTTGAAAACTTAATCTATTAGAGGATGCAGGAAGATGAACATTTGGATCGTTGATATTATATTCAAAGTTTTACGGTTAGTGAAAATATTGCTTGATTTTTATAAAGTTTCTACAAACTATATGACATCGACATATATTTCAGTTAACCGTAAGTATCGAAATGTGATATCAAAGATCTAAACCGCTCATCTTCTTACATCCGCCATATGATCATGTTTTCAAAAAAGAAAAGTTTAAAAATGAAATTCAGTAAGAAGAATAAAGTGTAAATGGCAATCGACGGTTAAATATAAATTTAAGGTTTATGAATTATAGTGTTGGATTTCGAAGCTGACCCCTTCATGAAAGTTGTAAAGTTTGTCACTATGAGTGATTGTATATTTTTTTTTTACATTTTTTACACTTCTATAATAATTATTATTAATTTTATTAATTTTTCCCTCAAATAAAAATCATTATTCATGAAGGTTTGGAGGATTCTAAAAATCTAAACGATAATGTAAGTATAACCATTATCTACTCGGGGAGGAATAATGATGAATCACGAGTGTTTATATATTGCCTTTTTGTATACATTTTCTTCGTAATTATAATTGTGTTATGGCAATTCAGTGCGAAGTAACAATTGTATATGTAAGGCTATGAAAGTTTGCTAGTGTTGCTATATTCTTCACTGTTGATTTTATTAAGAAATACAAATGGCAAACTAATGTAGGTGTAGGTAGCTGCAATATATATATATATATATATATATATATATATATATATATATATATATATATATATATATATATATATATATATATGTATGTATGTATATATGTATGTATATATGTATATATATGTATGTATATATGTATCTATATATGTATATATATGTATGTATATATGTATATATGTATATATATATGTATCTATATGTATATATATGTATATGTATGTATATATATGTATGTGTATGTATATATGTATATATTCGAACCGCCTATTTTGTAAGTCTCGATTCATAGATCATCCTTATAAAAATTCAATTCAATCCGAAATCATTTGCCTATTTAATTATCAAGATAAAATTTCATTGTTTCTTATATAACAAAGTATTCGTTAATTTCTTTGAACCCAATTAAATGTCTTAAAAATTTCCGATTTAGCTAATATTTTGTAAGGATGATTCGGATCGTTAAAGTTCAATGTAGTGTGGACCTCATAACTAATCTCATTTTTATAGAAAAATGGAGATCCCTTCCCTTAAAGATTTCATACACACACACATGATTCCATCTCTGTACGTTACATGCATAAACAAAGCAAGAGAAAAAACGTGCATTAAAGTTTATTCCATCCTTATCTTGAAGAATCTATATGTAAATATATATTAGAACCAATTGGAGCAAAAATGCATAATTTATAGTCTATAGTAGCGCAACAACAAAGAAAGCACATGAACAGCATCCATAGTTGTAGGCAGTTAAAAAAAAATAAAAAAATAATTCTTCGAAGTTGTGCTGATGGTTGTCAAGGATAGGTACTACTAGTGAGGACGGTTTTGAACCAACTCTACAGCAAAATTATTTCTTGTAATTCATTGTCAGGAATCAAACTTTTGACCTGACCTAATCATGTATCTTTAACTAATGACACCATTTAAATGGGTTAACTTCAAAAACTTACCAAAACTTGTTAATTTCCACATACAAGTAATAGTAAATTCTCAAACTAACTTCATATTTTTATTTAATTTTCAACATTGATTAGGTCGAGAGTTCAAATTCCCTTCCCAAATCACCTAATAAAAAATTTCTCTCGAATTACATATGTAGTAAGTTGTAACCATGGAAGAAAAAATCGATAATATCGGTGATATTTCGCCGATATTATCGGTTTTTTGCTTTACTGATATTTTAATAGGTATCCGAGGAATTTTCGTCAAAATATCGCGATATTATCGATAATATCGATAATATCACGATATTTTAGATAATATCACGATATTTTTGGTTTCTCGACAGTCAGTCACAACCTCACCGGAGAATCGGAATAACTCCGAGCAAGAACGAAACCTGCAACCAAATGGAACAAAATCATCACTATCTTTCAACAAAAATCACCACTTTATACCAAAATCAGTGACAAAATTACACTGATCCGAGAAGCAAGGGCTTGAATTCGAGCAAGATCTGGAAGAAAACAGTAGAAGCTGAGAGATCGAGTACCTCACCGGCAGTTACAGTGCTAAAGATCATCATCTTTGGAAGGCCGCGGATCGGACGGAGCTCAGAGATCAATGAGCAAGCATTTCACAGATTGTATTCGATCAGCGGCTGAAAGAGAGGAGAGAGAGAGAGAGCAGAGGGAGACGCGGACGAGGAGGATCGCGCCGATGGGGACGACGAAGGAGAGGTAGAGGTCGCGGCCCGCGGGACATGGTGACGGGCTCGACGAGGAGGAAGGCGAGGGAGGAGCAGAGGGAAAGGAAGTAGAGGGCGCCGATGAGGATGACCGATTTGAGGTAGAGCCACGGGGTGTGAAAAGGGGTATGTATGTTGCTTGGCTCTTGGTTGAAAAGGGGTGCGAAACTGAGAAACAATGGAGAGATTGAAAGGGATGGTCTGCTACGGAGAGATAGAGAGCCTTTTGAGGCTCTAGGCTCGAGGCAAGGGCAAAATATGTAGCAGCTGCTAGGGTTTTTCAATTCAAACAGGAAGCTGCTGCATCAGCATATATTGTAGTTGTTGCTGCACTTTGACACAAGTGTGCACTTGGACATGTTGGGCCGTGTTTCTCTTCAATAGCACCAGGTCTTCAGTTTGAATCCAGGTGATCTTTGTCCTTTTTCTTCTTTTCTTTTTGTTTTATTATTTGTTTATTTTAATTTCTTTGTTTTCTTTTCTATTTTCCTTTTCTTCTAGTTTATTTATTTTAGGCTTTTGTTTTATCTTTTACAGTTTTTATTTTTGTTCTTCTTCTTTTCTTTTTGTTTTATTATTTGTTTATTTTAATTTCTTTGTTTTCTTTTCTATTTTCCTTTTCTTCTAGTTTATTTATTTTAGGCTTTTGTTTTATCTTTCACAGTTTTTATTTTTGTTCTTCAATCTTTGTTTATTTTTACACACCTTGAGGACAAGGTGTGCAATAAGTTTGGGGGTGGGAAAGTAAAATTTTAGGATTTTAATTTTTTAGGCTTTTGTGTAAAATATTGTACTAATTCATTATATATAAATGATTATGGTGTGTTTAGACTTCTTTCATTAATTACTACATATTTTCTACACTCATAATGTTTGTCAGCTCGCTATATAATCAACTTGATAATGTTAAATCCATCATGCAATGCATTTCCTTCCAATTTTTTGTGATAAACTAATAGATAATTGACTAAATAAACATCTTGCAAAGTTTCAATAAAAATTTCCAAGTTTTTCTTACAATTTACATGGTTTCCATGTAATTTTTATTGATATCGATATTATCCCGATATTTTCATCGATATTTCCGATATTACCGATATTTTCTTCCTTGGTTGTAACTTATGTGATGGTCTGCTTTCTTACACTTGTAGCCCTCCTCCTATACCCATTAAACACAAGTCCACCTTTCTTCCTCCTCTTTGGATAGGATCATAACCGCGTTATCGATCACTAGACAGAGAGAGAAGCCAAGAGAAAGCTCAAATGGTTGTTGTACCAGCTCTTTCAATATTCATCCTCCTCCTCCTCCTCTTCAACCACGGCTACATCACCACAGCCTTCGCCGCAGACTCGCCTGCTTGCAAGCCCACATGTGGATCCCTGCAACTGAGATACCCATTTGGCACAGGCCCTGGCTGTGGCTCACCAATTTTCCAACCCTACATAACCTGCGCATTTATCAATAATCAGCAGCAGCTCCTCCTCCTCACCACCCACACAGGCTCATACCCTATCACTTCCATTTCCTATGCCTCCCAAACCCTAATCCTAACCCCACCCTCCATGTCCAACTGCACCTCCATGCAACCCTCTTCCTCCAACTTCGGCCTTGACTGGGCCTCCCCATTTCAGCTCGGCCCATCAACTTTCATCCTCTTGTCCTGCCAGCCCCCCACCTCTTCCCTCACCCTCAAACCCTCCGGCATCCCCGTCTGTGATCCCTCCTACTCTTACCTTTGTGCTTCTATCTATACGTGTCCATCCGTCGTAGGTCTTGGCCTCCCCTTGTTCCCCCCAACAAACACATGCTGTGTGTATTCACCAGGGAATCTTGATGCTAAGGGTGAGTTGGACCTCAACGGGTTAAAGTGTGCCTCATTTACATCCGTGGTGTCTCTCGGAGACTACCCGACGGACCCTGTGCGGTGGGAGTATGGGGTGGCGTTGAAGTACAGTCACGGTGGTTTGGACAGTGGCATTGTGGATACAAAGTGCAAGAGCTGTGAGATGAGTGATGGGGTTTGTGGGTATAGGGTTGATGATCATGATCAGTTTCTTTGTGTGTGTAAGAATGGTTACAACACCTCATCAGATTGCCATAATAATTACACTCCGGATTCGGAACTGCTTTGGGGCTCCGGCGCCTGTGATAATCATTTACCAGTTAATATTTGTAAGTTGTTCTTCAATATTTTTCTTACCATTTTTTAATTTTAAGTAAATCGATGATATATTGATAATGAAATTGATTACAGCTAAACCATTTTAATAAGTGTGGTTAATTATTTGTGAGTGTTGATGCTAATTTGTTGTCATAAAGTGTGGTTTCATGGTGCGTAAAGTGCGCACCTGATGCCTTTCCCTCTGTATGTTTGGAATTGATGGGTTTTGTTTGTGTTGGGGAATAAAGACAAGTTTTATTGCGTGAGCAAAAGAGAGAGAACTTAAGCGTTAAGGAGCAATGGAAGTGACAAAACTTTTCAAATCGAAAAATATTCTAGTGCCTTGTTAGCTTTAGGTATTCCTCTTTAACCCACTGCATACAGCGTTCAAACTCTTCTCTTCATCTCAGTGTAGTTTAGAGTAAGAAAATTATTTATAAAAAAAAAAAAGAATAATTTATGAACTCTAGAGCTAAATGATCGTCATCTTTTGAATTTTGCAGGGAAAATGTGGTCTGCGCTTGTGGCTGGCTTGATGATCATAATGCTTGAGAGAGAGATGGCTTTTACTTGGAAATGCTTCTTTTGATTTGATCTGTGTAAGCTGTAATCGATCGTCATCTTTTGAATAATGGTGCGTTTACTAATCCGTAATCAGATTGAAGGGAATTGGATTGAGGAGGAAACAGAATTAGATTCCTGTTGATGTTGTTTACTATACTAGCTGGAATCGGAGTAAAAATGATATTGATTTCATATAACTTATGTACTAGTTCACCTGAATCGGAATTAAAACTAGCTTGATTATTAAACTACCCTTGTATCATAATTTTTTTCATGCTAGCTAATGAAATTTAATTTTATATCATATTAATAAATTTCATCACATAAGGTTTTGTGTTAATAAAAAGTATAGTTATTTAATAAAAAATAAAAATATTATACCATCCTTATCCCCCCTTTCGCCCACATGCATCCTCATCCATTCCCACCCTTGAGTCCTCCCATGGAAATTGGTGGGATTGGAGAAGATGGATTTAGTGTCTGCCTGTTGGTGGTGAAGTTGTTGATTATTTTGTAATAAGAAAAATTATAGGAGGGCAATCTAGGAAGAAAAGTTTCAGAATTGGTGCGGGTCCCACACGAAACCTGATTCCTACCTAACTAGTAAACACATGAATCCATCGAAGAGCATGCAATTCCATTACCGTCCTCTTCATTCCTCTTTAGTAAACACGCCAAGTTTTCTGACCGAAAATTGAGATTTGATTCGTTTGGAAATTGTCTTTTTTCAAATCTCAACAATCCGTTTGATAACCGTTTTATTTTGAGTTTTGAGTTTTTGCTTTCACTTTTTTTAAAACTGGAAACTAAAATCTTGTCTGGTAGCTACTTTCAGTTTTTATTTAAAATAAAAATTGAAAACTACTTTTATAGTTTACAAAATTTGGCCTTGAGTTTTTAGTTTTCATTTTTTCTAAAAAAAACTGAAATAATTATCAAACAAGAATTCATTTTTGAAAATATGAAAACTAAAAACTAAAAATGAAATAGCTATCAAAATGTTATATGTTGTCAATATCTTATATATCACAATGTCATCGATCTTTGATCGCTGCATTTGTCAATAATAAATTTTGATCTATTTAATAAGGTTTTTCCATTAACATCCCACATATTGTTGAATACATCATACAAAATATTGATATTAAATAACTTGTAACTCTAATATGAAATAACTATTCAAGCCCTTAAAATTCACTCAGACTCTCCACTTTAGAAGAAAACCCTAAAAACACAAATATATTGATGAAAAAAATTTATTTTTGACGAATAAATCGTAAGTTTTGGTTTCCCTTTCAATTTGGTTTAGGCCTTCAAGAAATCATTTGAATGATGGAATATAAAATTGACTTCCAATCTTTTTAGCCAATTTCCCATAAAAGAAAAACAATGAAATTGTCAAATAATACCATTTTTCTTGATAAATTGTAGTCACCGACCAATCGATCTTAATCCAACTGTAGTTGTGGTAATTTAGCTTTTTATTATACGTTGAATAGTCAATCTTACTTCTTGCAAATTCAACTTTGAGATGTATGGAGAGATAATTTATCAACAATACAAAAGGAAAAGATTTTGTACAAGTGTCGAGCTCTAATTAAGAGGTAAATAGAAATAGCTATTCCATTCTCAAATGGAAAAAGAAACAGGAATAAAGGTGAGCAACTTCTCGGGCATCTTCTGCGCATATGTGTACTACATAGGATATGCCATGCTCCACTTGAAAGTTGGGTAGTGGGAGCTTGGAAACCTTAACCATTCAATTAATCATTTTTGTAAATTGGTTAGGACGAATTCGAACCCGCAGAGGAGGGCTATCAATAAGAATAGAAAGACCAAAATATAAATTATAGCTCCAGTTGGCAAGACTATCCGGCCGCAGTATTCTTTTCCTTCTCAATGTGTCTCATCTCACAGTGAAAAAATCGATTTTGAAGACCTCAAATGTTGATCAAACGGGAAGCAAAAGGATGGCACAAACCAGCATCATCCTGATGTAACAAATTAAGAACATAATACGATTCAACAGTGAGCTTAAGGCCAAAGCGGGTCCCGAACTTTGAATATCTTTCACTATTCAGAAGAGAAGTATTATTTAACATTCCCCGTTTGATGTTTACCATACACAGGCTTAACGCTTAAAGAGTCCAAAGCTGGTGAAAGCATCTTTTGCTTCTATAAAGTATAAAGTCATTGTAAACATCCGAGAGCATAATCTTTGCTGTGATTTACTATAAAGCCATATAACTTGCTAGATACTATTGATAGAGTAATGTTTTCCTTGCCTGAATTATGATGCCAGGTTCGATCTGAACCACACAACATAAATTAAAACAAAAAAAGTGCACTATTATTGATTCTTAGGCTTTTATTGCAATTGAAGCTTGGTCCCTGAATTAATAATCCGTGATATGAAACAATAGTCTTTATGGGTAACACCATTCGAACTTATATCCCAAAAAAAAGGGTTTTAAAGGGCAAATAAGGGTGATTTACCCAAAAGAACTTTAGTGTTCTGTATGAACATACAAGCAATATAAGATGGATCTGCATAAATCAAGTTCTTGCAAAACCAATCATTGTTCTACCGTGATGGACCAAATGACATTTTGGGCGGTGATATATACTCTTCTGCTTTCTAAACAAACAAAATAATTTCTAGTACAAAATTCAACTCGAACATATAATCCACAATACAGAAACTCATATCCGATAATGTAGGTTTAAACGAAAATCAGAAAATGATCGTCTTGATTAGCCTTCACCTTTTCTTGGTATCTCAATCCATCTTGTGGCCGTTGCTGTGGTTTTCTTGTTTCGGTTTAGGGAGTGGATCGATGAGGAAAGCCTTCATGTGCTTGCACATCTCTTTGGGGTTCTCTGCATTTATAGCACGCCCTGCGTTCTTTATGATCACTAGTTCTGCACTCTCACCTATTTGACAGCAAAGGGAGAAGAACAGTAAGACTAAACGCTGTTCCAATAATTTAGAGCTTTCCTCTTAAGAGTTTATGATCACTACTCCTGAAAAACAGAGGAATGCTGTGTCTCTGTGGTACTACTTTTATGCGAGGCAATGCAAAGTCCAAAACAGACATCAATTATCAAAAGACATAAATTGTTGTTGCTGATGGTGATAGAGCAGAACTTTATTAGAATTAATTTTACCCATAACCATTAACAAGAGACATACAAATAAATTTCACAGGTAAATGGTTATACGCATAACTGTTTATTTATCTAAATAATTATCCATAACCATAACCAAAAGTTTTATATGAGTGGGCCCATACCCTTGTGTATTTTTCAAGGTTCTAAAAGACGTTAGGCGCTAGTCGGGCGGCGGGCTAGGGCCTAGCGCCTAGGGTGGCTAGGCGGGCGCCTAAGTAGATTTAAGTAAATCTATTAGATTTCGTGTGAATAAGTGTCTGTTTATACTTAAAATATATATAATTTCATCATAAACTACATAATAATGACATATATATTATGAAGTATTGGACATAATGAAAATATGGGAAACAAGCATATAATGTGTGTTCATTTAAGTATTCAACAAGTCTTTACAATTTATTGAAAAAAAATAAAATGCAAAATGAAAGCTATCTATTTTCTGTCTAAGTGAGTCGCAACCTAGTTAGTGCCTAGGCGGGTCTGGACAGGCTAGGCAGGTGTCTAGACGGTCTAAACGGGTGCCTTAGCAGGTCTAGGCACCCTTTCTTAATTTTCAAACGCCTAGGCATTAATCGGAGCGGTAGCTAGTCGTCTAGCGCCTAGACGGGGTCTAGGCGGCGCTAAGCGGAGATTTTTAGAACAGTGGTATTTTTTCCATCCTATCAGTACTTCTGTTCGTTTGTTAATGGTTGAGTTTGTCAGCTTAACTACTGGCTTAATTAGGATAAATAGTTAATTAGCATAAATAGGAGGCTTAAATCCAAAGGCTCTTTTGTCATTTTCTGTATTTAGTTAGATTAGGCTTTGCCACTTGGATGGTCCCCCCTTCCTTTTCCGCTCCCCACCCTCTCATCCTCTCACAGTTTTTTTTCCTTCTCTCCCTACTTTTTTCCCCTTTTTCTTTATAAGATCAAATTCTGAGCGTTCAAGGAGAGGAAGGAAGGAAAAAAAAAAAAAGAGAGAGGAGAGAATCCCTAAACCCTAAACACACAACTGTTTAGATATTCTACTTTCAATATCAAGCATTCATCATATTATTTAGGGTGGTTTGGGAATGAGGTGCTTAAAAAAAACACCCATGAAAAAGAACTGTGAGGATTTTAGGTGTTTGGTAAACTAAAAAAAAAAGGTTATTTTGGAAGCTGCTGTGAGAATAAGCTGAAATCAAAGGAAAAAGTTGAAGCAACTATTTGCAGCTTTGGAAAACTGACATTTTTTCAAAGCACACGGAGCTACAGAGCTCATTTAATGAAAAGACCCACTGTCAGACTTTTTTTTTTCCAAAAGCACTTTTACAAAAAAAGTTTACCAAACACTCTGCTGATTTATTTCACAGCCGCTTATTCTCATAGCACAGCCGCTTATTCTCACAGCTTTTTTTCAAAGAACAGCAATATCACACCAGCCCTCAATGCTACGGAATATTGTAAAAATTTCCATTTAAGAGAACATGGTTTTTTTTTGGGAACTTTAACGAAAAGCTCCCGGTACTGTTCATTTTAACGAAAAACCATATTTTTACACTAAAAAGTCAATCCTGGTACTATTCATTTAACTATTTATTTTGTCTTTATTGTTTAAAGTCAAAGTTTTCAAGTTCTCAAGCTCTTTTCATTAGTTTTTTTTTTTTTTTTTTTTTTTTTTTTTTTTTTGTCAATAATACATAGTACTGCAGCATACAACACAACTTCCCCTAAACACTAAATTTATCGTAGTTTATGAAGACATGGGATTTGATCAAATGTAAGTCTCACTAAATCGAATATGTTAAAATTCTAGAAGCCCCGGGCAAACTAGAGATTTTGTATACATGCAAACTAAGAAAGGGCATTCTCTTAACACAAGGCATTTCTTCAACCTGAAACCTTCAATAAATACTTTATTAACATTGAGGTTCAAACGTTCTGTAATCGCTCAGGGGATCAAAAAATTAGTAAATCTCCACTATCCTGAGGGATTAAAGGAACATTTGGATTTGGCAGTTCTCCGAAATCCAACTCCAAATCCTTGAGATTTTTAGTGTAGGAAATAAAACAGCCAGCTGATGCACTCTCACGGTTTCAAGAAATCAACAAATGAATGTATACAAGCACACAAAAGCATAAGTAGCTAATAAAGTAGCTTACAACCTAACATTGTCTTCTGATCCATGTTCAATAGGCATCCATGGACCGGAGAACGGGGCAATTAAGTTTACTCTTCAACCATGCTCCTAATGCCGTAGCGATGTTCTAAGAAATAAAATCTAAAAATCAAGCAGGAAGAAAAAGGTAGTGTTTTCTGAAATCAATTATCAGTATGGTTCATTTTTGGAGAAGATATGAATGCAATTCTGCTAACAGAGCATGAAAATCATTCTGTAATGCGTGTATATCTCGACAGTTATCTCCAACAGGCTATCAGTATCACATGGTTAAAAGCAGTACAGCGCACTGAACAACGATATTACCTCAAAATTAGTTCAGTAGTGGTCATGGCCTCGTTTTTGCTGGTGGTGGACTGAAACTCGGGACACAGGATCAAACTTTTTCCTTTTCTGTAAGTGAATGCAGTAGATCCTGATTACTCCTTTTGTAAACTGATTTCCGTTTCTCTTAACTACACAAGTTAGATCACACTCCAACCCTTTGTCTTTCCAATGCTCTCCTGATTACTCCTTTTGTAAACTGATTTCCGTTTCTCTTAACTACACAAGTTAGACCACACTCCAACCCTTTGTCTTTCCAATGCTCTTGTCCTCCATCATTTTTCTCACATTTATAGCTGCCTCCCACTTCCCAATAGAACTATACAAGTTCGAAAGCATTATATAGTGGCCATCATTTTCTGGATCAGATTTTATAGCATGCCTTGCAACCCTTACGCCCAACTCAATTTCATTGTGAATCTTGCAGGCACCTAACAATGATCCCCACACACCACCATCAGGAGAAATGGGCATTGACAGAACCAAATCTTCCGCTTCTTGCAGTTTACCAGACCTGCCAAGAATACCTACCATACAAGCATAGTGCTTCAAATGTGGTTGAAGGGAAAGATCTTGCATTCTAAGAAACAGATATTTCCCTTCTTCAACCAGCCCTGAGTGATTACATGCTGAGAGGAGAGCGAGAAAGGTGAGTTCATTTGGTTTAACATTTAAATCTTCCATCTCATGGAAAAGTTTTATTGCAGATTCTGCATGTCCGTGTTGCATAACCTGAGATCATCACATTCCAAGAAATGACATCCCTATCTTCCATTGAGTTGCACAATTCTCTTGATTTCTCAAGTTGCCCACATTTTGCATACATATCAACTAATGCAGTGGCAAGGGATAAATTGATCTCAAGATGTCTTTCCTTAATGTAACAATGAACCTTTTTTCCTTCTTCCAGAGATGCGAGATGAGAGCAAGCTGAAAGCACTGTTACCAATGTTGCTGAGTTGGGCATGAAGTTTTCTGCAATCATCTTATGAAATAGGGCTATGGCCTCAAAATAATGTCCATTGTGAGTGAGATGAGATCAATGAGTTCCATGTTATAATATCTTTCTGTGTCCTAGAAAAAATTCTCCTTGCAATGGTCAAATAACCAAATTTTCCATACATGTCTATGAGTGTGTTGGCTACTGAGACATTTTCATCCATAGAAACCTTAATTATAAAGCAATGAAGTGATCGGCCAAGATGGATTGCTCCCGTCTGAAAACACGAACAAATCACAGATATCAAGCCATTCGAATCAGCTCCAATGCTTTGATGTTTCATCTTCCTAAACAGTTCTATGCATTTTGTATGCAGTCCCATCTTACCATAGCCATAAAGCATAGTGTAACAAGACTCTTTGTTCTGGTGCTGCATTCCGCTAAAGAGCTTCTCTGCAAGAGTCAACAACTCAAACTTGCAGTACAGGGACAGTAGTTCACTATGAATATTCTGACACAATGCATAATTTTGCCTCATGACTAATCCTAGGAAGGCCTTTCCTTCATTGACATTGGATGAATTTCTAAACCCTGAAAGCACGCAACTGACAACAATTTCATCTGGATATATATCACTATCCTGCATTTCCCGAAACAAACTTAAGCATTCAGTCATTAACCCAGATCTAGCATAAACACCAATAACTGACGTCCAAGATATAACATCTTTATTTTGTAAATCACAAAACGAAAGATAAGATTCTTCAGGTGTCCCGCATCTGGAATACATGGACAAAAGCAAAGATTTAACATCTCCAGAACACCCAGTCCCACTTTTCACTACAAAACCATGCAAGCATCTACCTTCTACTAAAGCACCCAGGTCCCCACAAGCTTGAAGCCCAACTTCCAACGTTCTGAAATTTGGCCTCTCACCAATGCCACCAACCCTATGCATCTCACAAAGATACTCCAAACCCTTCTCACCCTCATCATTCTGCACATACCCAATTATAAGCGCGGTCCAACAAACCACATCTCTCACAGTAATTTCATCAAACATGAGAGATGCATCCTCCATTCGACCACACTTTGAATACATAAACACAAAAGAAGACCCAACTGCCGAATTACCCGCAAAGTTCCCGAGTTTCTTAGCCAACCCATGAACACTGCTACCATGGTCAAGCAACATCAACTCGGCACACGAGGCAACCACCATCGGAAGAGTAAATTGGTTAGGAGAAAAACCCGAATCCCGCATTTGGAAAAAGAAATCGAGGGCTTTCGAGTAATTGGCATTTGAGAAATGGGTTTTGATTATGGAGTTCCAAAGAAAGGTATCTTTGGGAGAGACTGAAGCAAATAATTTGGTGGAGAACGTGGGTCTGGAGAGAGACGCATAGAGAGAGATGAGCTTTGCGGCAATGAAGATGTTGTTTGAGTTTCCAGACGATACAATGAGAGCGTGGGACTGAGAGAGATGCTGCAAAGTTGGAAGTTGGTCAGACAGGAAAGAATCGAGATGGCGGTTAAGGTAGTTAGAAGAAGAGAAAGAACAAAATGGAAGAGAGGAGGGAAGGCGTTCGAACAAGTAGAGGGGTTTATAGCCACGTTTGGATGTGCTTTTAAAATGACTAAAAGCGCTTTTGGAGAAAATATTTTTGGGTTTCAAAATCACTTTAAGTGTTTTTTCCGAGAAGCACCAGTTATGTGCTTCTTCTAAGAAGCACTTTAAGTGTTTTTATAAGATTTACTACCATTTTTACTAAGGATTGTTTCCAAAAATATTTTCACCAAAAGCGCTTTCAGTCATTTTAAAGCACATCCAAACGAGCTCTATGTCTGAGCATGAACATGGGATTCTCTAACGGTTTATTGGGTCTTGGCCTTTTATTTATCAAAATGTTATTCTTACAATCTATTTGTATCATCTATTTAATAAAGATGGTATGGTATCATATGCGTTCGTGGGCTATATCCCTATTAACCTAATACAAATAAATGGTAGGTCTAACATTACTCCTTATCTATATTAGCAGATGCCTGTGAACCATTTGATCTTAATTTGTTTTTTGTTTTATTTTATAAAAGAGTGTGATTGGATTTTAAAATTCTACAAAAAACAAATCAGTTATGAAAAAAATAGTACAATGATGGGACAGTTTCTTTTATGGTGTTATAATCATTGTATTAAAGTGTGATTGTATAAATTCTAGATTAGATTTGATATTAGTTATTCTTTCCTATTAGGACTTGTATTCATTGGAGGAGAAGGATTTTTCTCTCCCTTATTACCACGATTCTAAAAATCTCCGCCTAGCGCCGCCTAGGCCCCACTTAGGCGCTAGGCGGCTGACCACCGCCCCGATTAATGTCTAAGCGTTTGAAACTTAAGAAATGGCTCCTAAACCTGTTGAGATGTTCACCTAGACCGTCTAGGCACCCGCCTAACCCGTCTAGACCCACCTAGACACTTGCCTAAGTTGTGACTCACTTAGACAGAAGACAGATAACTTTCATTTTGCATTTTATTTTTTCAATAAATTGTAAAAGACTTGTTGAATACTTAAATGAACACACATTATATGCTTGTTCCTCATTATGTTCCAATACTTCATAATATATATGTCATTCTATTATGTAGTTTATGATGAAATTATATGTATTTTGAGTATAAACTGACATTTATTTACACAAAATATAATAGATTTACTTAAATCTGCCTAGTCCACCTAGGCACTAGGGCCCAGCCCGTCGCCTGACTAGCGCCTAACGTCTTTTAGAACCTTACTTATTACTATAAATAAAGGCAATGTGTAGAGAGAATAACACATCCTCTAAATAACCTTACAAACACATCTATTTCCTTACTCTCTCTCTAACGCACCTTTTCTCTCTCTTGTCAGATAAAAATAAGCCACAACACGTTATCAACATGCTCTTACCACTGCGCTTAGGAATCTGATGTGAAAGTTTTTTGCATCAAACCAGTTCATTAATATCATAACGCAATCAGATTCTTCCAAAACAACAGTTTTTATCTCGACATTTTTGCAGCCCTGATAGTATATGAACATTCATCATAATGCATTACCCAACTTTATGTTTTTTCGAATTTTAGATTCTACATAAATTGTGTATGCATTATATTCATAATTATTGAATTATGTGAATTGATATTGCCATGAATTGCATCAAATATATATTCATACATTGAATTATATGTTGAATATGCATGATTATACTAAAAATAAATAAATTAATTAAATTAGGATTTCGATTGGAAACCCTGTTTGCAGTGGCTTCGAGCCAAGTCGCCGTGCAAGCCGCCAACACTAGGCCAGTAGCCTACGTCAGCTTGGCGAGCCCAGCCCAACCACGAGTCACAAGGCTGCAAGCCCAAAGAACCAAGCGGTACGTTTTGGCACCATCATCCCTAGCCCAAACCCTCGGCCTGAAGTCGAACCTCCTTTATCGAATTTTCTGACAAGATTGCGACCTGTAGTTGTGCGATTTGGATGAAATTAATCGTTTTCAATAACAATCTTAAAAAATTCCAAAAGAATTTTGTGAGTTTTTCACGGGATTCACGTCGAATCCCTTTAGTTCTCACACCACTGATGTTGAGGCTTTACCTTCATTGCTAAAACTTGGTTCTCCGATGAACCATGGCTTGCCTTGACCAAGGAAAAATCCCCTGAAGTGGTGTCGTTGAATTTCTCCCGCGGATTCCTACACCTAGCGCTGCTAGGATGGCCTACAAATCCAACGCGAGCCCTGACGGGCCTCGGTTTCCTTATCCATATAGCACAACAACTTTTTGGGCTTGCTTGTGCTTGCTACTTTGATCCACATCACCAGCCTTTTAGGCTTTAGTGATTATTGCCCAAGAACCAATGCCACGCACGATCACAGCCTTATGCTGGTGTGTATGTGTGTCTGCGCCACGTCGGAGCAAGCCCTCTATCTAAGGCATATGTGCCTGGGCCTACGTGAACATGCCCTCCTCTGTACAATTTGGGCCCCCTTGTTCGACTTGACCCGTGACACCATCATATGGGTTATAGTGTCCCTGCACCTGCGACACACTAGATCCCAGCCCTGGCTAGTGCATCTGTGTACCCATCTGCACATGATCCCAGCCCGATGCTGGAGTATTGGTGCACCGTACCACGTTGTACTTGATCAACAGTCATCTGGGCCTTTGGTTTATTGGGCCTGCAGCCCACCTGTGTTACCATTGGCCTGCCTGCAGCTAGGCCCATGCCTATCATAGCCCATTTTTAGGCCTAGACCTCACATCATCAATTTACTCAACCTACCCGTGGGCTTTGGCCCACTATTTTGGGCCCTGAGTTTTAGTCGCCTATTTTTTTTAGACCCTTGAGGTTTATAATTTTTCGTCTAAACTTTAATTTTGGCCCGAAGTCCAAATAATTAATTCAATTATAGTTATAGGCCCCGAAGACCTATTTGCATATTTTGGTTGCATATTTCTGTATATATATTTGTGTTTGTCTACAAGAACATATGAACCTGAAGTTCATAATTCTTTCGAAACCTGAAGTTTTTTTAAACATGCCTTGTTTGAAAGCTTGAAGTTTTTCTTAAAACATCACCTGTGAAAACCCAAAGCTTTTCGTGTAACTTTAAACCAATAAATGTCTATTAGAACCTGAATGTTCTACTCCTATGTGAATGGATTGATTTGTCTCCATTAGGCTAACCACATTCTTGTCCATTTACTTTGTGATAGGGACATGTCAAATTTGAACAAACTCGACTTCACCGCTTTAGAGGTATTTAGAAAAAAAACTACCTCAAGTAGGTCCAAGATGTGAAGCTCCGCCCACCGTAAAGAATTTGTGCCCAGCTATTAAAGTTGAGATAGATGACTCAGTTGGCGAAGCTAAGAAAGCCACTGCCATGATCTCCATCCGGAGGCATATTCATGATGCACTATAAGTCGAGTACCTTGTTGAGGAAGATCCATAAGCATTTTGGGTCACTTTGGCCGATCTTTTCAATCACCAAAAAGACATCTTCTTGCCTGAAGCAAGACACGACTGGCAGTATCTGCACTTCCAAGACTTCAAGTTTGTGAATGAATATAATTATGAAGTTTGTCAAATCTGATCACTTTTTAAGTTCTGTAATGAGGACTTGACCGAAAAAGATCTTTCTGGAGAAGACCCATTTGACCTTCTCTGCTGCAAATATTGTCCTACAACAACAATATATGGTTCAGAAGTTCACTAAGTTTTCGGATTTGATATTTGTTTTACTTATTGCTGAAAAGCAAAATCAGCTGTTGATGAAGAATCATCAAGCTCAACCTACTAGGGCGATCGCTCTGCCTGAAGCACACTATAGCACAAACCAACACCCAAAACACCAACATAGACGTGGTAGGGGCGACCAAAAGCCACCCCGTCAAGGTTAACCTCGCTCTTAAAGCCTCGAACTTCAAGAACAAGGGCAAAACACCTGACACCATGGATGCAAATATGTGTTACCGCTCTGGTTCAAAGGACCATTGGTCACGTGTTTTTCGTGCTCCTCTGAAGGTTGTTATTGAATGTCATTTTCGTCGTAAGAAGTTTGAATCAAACTTTATGCAAGTGGATGAACCGAAAAGTACCTAGATGGAGGTTTTTTATTTTCAAGAGGCTGTTACCCCTATGAAAGATTAAAATCTTAGACATGGGCCAGTTTTTTAGTTGAATTTTAGACCCCTAAGGCCGAATTCCACTAAGTGGGCGAACCCCCCTTTGTTTTTTTTGTTTAAGTTTGAACAATTTTCCTTTATGTTTGGATTATTTGTTGGTGATTTGTTTTAATTTTGGATATTAAGTTTTTTTAATTACCATCCTCAAATACTTAAATTATTTTGAATGGATATTTGTTTTTAGAACTTTTATATATGTGCCCTATTCAAATTAATTTTACTTTCTAGGTATGACTACTGGGAAAGTTAGTTGTTTGGAAGACAATGCAACCACGCACACCGTTTTACGTGAACGCATCTGTTTCACTAACTTCGTACGTAAGAATGCATATCTGACAACCCTCTTAGGCCCATCCAACCTGATCGAAGGATACGATAAGACATGTATAATGTTGTCCAATGGTACGATCTTGACCATTGATGAGGCACTTTATTCTCCACGTTCCAAGAGAATGTTGTTGAGCTTCAAAGACATATGAGACAATAATTACAACGCTGAAACCTATGTAGAAAATATAGTTGAATTTATGTGCATCACTTCTTACAAATATGGCCAAAAGCATATTCTAGAGAAGATGGAGTGTATCCCGAGTGGTTTGTATACTACAACCATACGCCCTATAGAGAACCGCTATGTGGTCGGCCCTACCTCAGGGACTGCGCGTGAAATTATACTTTGGCATGATCGTTTAGGACACCCAGGATGAACAACAATGCACCGTATCCTCAAATCTTCACACGGGCATCCAATAACCCAAAGTTTAGGTTCGATTCAAGGAATCGCATGCCAAACCTACTATTTAGGAAAGCTTATCATTAAGCCTTCCTATGACAAGATTTGCTTAAATCATCCTACTTTTCTATAAAGGAT